TCACAGTCAGTCTTTTCTGCAGAAGCGAGCAGTATTTGAAATACAATTACTTGAAAAATATTTTGTTAAACACTTATAGCATTTTGTATTTTTCATTTCCAGCATTCTACCCTTAATATATTAGGTATTGGGTTTTTAAATGCTAAAAGACAAGCATTTCGTATCTGCATGTGCTGACGAAAATTCAAAATGCTTTAAATATTTCGCATTTTCAAGTATATTTTCAAATACAAAATACTTATAACCCTTTCAATTTTCATTGGCACATGCTAATCCAAAATATTTATATAGGAGCAATTACAAATGGAAATGCTAATTATTGTTGAATAGAATGCTTAAAGTGTAAAAGAAGCAAGTATTAAAGCAAGTATTAAAAAATGCATCTTTCAAAAATGTATTTCAAATACTGCCTATATTTACTGCTATATGTATTACTGCCTATATATATACAAGGTGTGTCCCAAAAGTATCCGAACCTTTTCTATACAGACAGTATTAGAGGCGCCATTTGTTGAAAGAAGGTGGCGTTCTATTGGTTGAACCTTCATGTATTCCTCTGTTGAGTTTGGTTGGGCTAAGACGAATGAGTCATTGCCTAGGGCGCCAAAAGTAACAGAACCCTTATGACACTCGTCGAGAAATCACCACGGAGCAGAGAGCTAACATCAAATTCTGTGTAAAATTGGGGAAAACATTTACGGAGACGCTCGAGATGTTGCGGAAGGCTTATGGGGAACAAGCACAATCACGTACAACAGCTTACGAGTGGTATGCAACGTTTCGGAATGGTAGAAAATCGTTTGAAGACGATGAACGCAGCGGGCGCATTTTGACCAGTTGAACGGATGAAGCAGTGGAAAAAGTGCGTGATTTGATCAAAAGCGACCGTTGCATGTCCGTGAGACTCATTGAAGATATCATTGGTATCAGTAAATCACAAGTTTACCTCATTTTGACAGAAGATTTGCAGCGGCGAAAAGTCTCTGCGCGATTTGTTCCGTACTCATTGGACGACGATCAAAAACAAGCCAGAGTGCTGCATGCCCAAGACATCATTTCGATCGCCGATAATAACCCAAACTTTTTAAAAACCATTGTAACTGGCGATGAAACATGGTGTTTTCAATATGAGCCACTCACGAAGCGCCAGAGCTCAGTTTGGAAGACTCCAGAAGAACCAACTCCAAAAAAAGTGCGCATGCAGAAGTCAAAAGTGAAAACAATGCTAATCACTTTCTTTGATTCGGCTGGGAACCATTGTAACTGGCGATGAAACATGATGTTTTCAATATGAGCCACTCACGAAGCGCCAGAGCTCAGTTTGGAAGACTCCAGAAGAACCAACACCAAAAAAAGTGCGCATGCAGAAGTCAAAAGTGAAAACAATGCTAAACACTTTCTTTGATTCGGGTGGGATTATCCACAAGGAGTTCGTTCCAGAAGGCCAGACGGTAAATGGCGAATACTACCTCGCCGCTATGAAGCGTTTGCTGCCCAGAATTGCTCGGGTCCGTCCTCAAATACCAAGCACCAGGCAGCTGGTCCCTCCTCCACGACGACGCTCCGTCTCACATTGTGCGGAACTTTTTGGCCTCAAAAGGAGTCGTAGTGCTTGACCACCAGCCCAATTCGCCTGATTTGGCACCCAGCGATTATTTCCTTTTCCCCAAACTAAAAATGAAGCTAAAAGGAAAGCGTTTCGGCACGATTTTGGACATCCAAAAGGCTTCGACCAAGGTTATTTCCGCCATCTCGGAGGAAGACTACCAGAGGTGTTTCCAAAATATTCGTCTGATTTGGCACCCTGTGATTATTTCCTTTTCCCCAAACTAAAAATGAAGCTGAAAGGAAAGCGTTTCGACACGATTTTGGACATCCAAAAGGCTTCGACCAAGGTTATTTCCGCCATCTCGGAGGAAGACTACCAGAGGTGTTTCCAAAAGTTGTATGATCGCTGCAAAGCCTGCATTTCTTCGGAAGGGACGTATTTTGAATAATCAATAATAAAAATTATAAATATCACGTGGGAAATTAATTTGTAACTGAAGTTCGGATACTTTTGGGACAGACCTTGTATATCTTTCCAGAGGACTATACCGAGTTCAGGAAAGCAAAATGTGAAATATTTGAGAAACCCATTATGAGTGATACAAGTGACATAAGTCTAAGTCAGACATACTTTTTTACCATTCCGCACACTAAAAGTTTTCAGAGCAGGAGTTTAACATGACATTAGCCGGCTGATGTGATTCAATACTTACCCATTATAGAGGTGATGGTCAAAACATGGTTGAAGTGGGAGAGGATGTTCATCTTCCCAACTCCAGAATTGCCGATCAGAAGAATTTTGAACAAGTAATCATTGGTCTTCATAGCCATGGGAAGTCTGGGAAGGATGATCAAATCGCGTATTGAAGAAGCGGGACCTCGTTTCGTGAGTCTTCAACGAGATTCTTACCAACATGAAAAAGTTGCATAGACTGAATTATAGCATTTAGGATTGTAAATTAAGGGTAAGGGAGAGGGCATTACTTATCGGTAATATACAAGTAATTTACTGGTATTTACGGGCATTTTACTGGTGCATTACCACTAGGTTACTGGTGCTCAACAGAGAGCCATATTAATTTTTTTTAAGTCTCAAAATCCTCTTTTGCAACACATATATACCTCAGCAGCATCTCACGCGGGAATATTAAGACACGCTTAGGCAGAGAACTCTAGGGATTTAAATGCAGAGAGTACAGCTGGGATCTCTTCTATTTTTGACTTCGGGTTATATAATCTCCGCACAGCTCATTTCTCAGTCTTGGTCGAGCGTTCGTAGCGTGAGGACGTGTTGGAGGATACTCTCGAGGTTATGTCAGCTAAGTCGTGAGTTAGTTGTTACCTGGCTACTTTGTAGCAGTATTCATAAGTTTTCTGATAGCTACCTCCAACTTCACATTAGATCAGTATCAATCAGCTTAATTACTTTAAGTATTAGCTCATTACTCGTAGTATTCCTTTTACTACAAGGACTAGGACAGTACAGTCTTACCGGGTTACAACTAGTGTGAAGTACTGCAAAGTATAAGTCTAAAGCAGTAGGAGTGTCAATAGGGATCAATAACATTAAG